AATGAACCATCTTCTTTATAGAGAGGAGGGATTCGCTCTTTGATCTTGGTTAGTTGTTTTGTGGCTTTCAACCGAGAGATATCCATAGGGTTAAGTGAGGTTAGGTATCTTTTATATTACTCAGACTTAAATTTTTTTAGTTGTTTTTTTAAGGTATTAGCTAACTTGTTATAATGTGTGTTTTGCCATTTTGCCCTAGCGCGTCTTTTTTCATTGATTAATGATTTTATATGAAGAGGGAATTCTTTATTTACAGCGCTTTTTGGTGGATTTGTATTATGTGATGCTGCACTGGCAGAGTCTTTTATCAACTGGATGAAGTTATGGGCAGTTTGGTCAATTTCTATTCATGTTTTCAGTGAAATATTAAAGTTAATATCGTTATCCATATAAATTTTTCCCAGTAGATAGGTACATTTGTAAGGTATGGCCTGGAGGGGACCAATACTTCACCTCCAATGGTAAGTATGACTGGCGAGTGGTCACCAGAAAGGTCGCTAGTATTTTCTATATTTGTGTTTATCTGATTAGATATTTTTAATATAAAAAAATCCAATATGTCAGGATGCCTATTGGCATGGGTTGGCCAGTACGTTGGTCCGGAAGGAGAGATATATGAATAGTGTTGATTGGTTAAAACCGAGTGAAGAGACTAACTTCTTTGATTATTTGAGACACAACCTTATAAAGAATTTTTTGAGTTGAAATCACCGCCAGCTATGAATGAGTGACCTTGAGTATCAAAAAATTGCAGAAAGTCATCCTGTCGTATATTATAGCAGGGAGGACAGTGGACAGCGAAAATAGTAGTCGGAATGCTTTTTATATGTATTAGTACACTAGTCGCTTGGATACAGTGCTTTTGATATGGAGTTTTTTGACTGTGATGTATGTCATTTGATATTAAAATGGCAGAGCCACCGCGAGCAGTTCCGTCTGGTTAGTTTTGTATAAAGTATAGTTAAAAATTTTAAAGTTAGATTTTTCGGTAAAATGTGTTTTGCTTATAAGTGCTATGTCAATTTTTTTTTCGTTAAGTACAGTTTGTAGTTCATCTTTGTGTTGGTGTAAGCCGTTAGCATTCCATAGGAGTACTTTGATAGCATATTTTTGAGTAGAGTCATTATTAATCATTTTTTAGGAGAATTTTGTTTATTACAGTTGTTAATAGTGTTATTAAAGGATTGATTATGGATTTAAGGTCTGTTAAGAATAAGGAGAGTTGTTTAGTAAGGTCGTTAGTGTCTGTATTGGTCATGTGATTTTGTGTATTGCTTTAAGAGTTATGCTGTTGAGTTACATGTGTGTAAGTACTATGTTTATTAGTGTTTGATGGCTGGGTGTTACCAATGGGGACTTGTACAATATTATTTACAGTATTGATATTATTTACATTATTTATACAGTTATCATTTGGATTTATAAAATTATAATTTAAATGGAAATTTTTTCTTTGGTTTGAATTAGCGATCCTTTTCTGCTGTTCATTTTTATAAGCAGGGCAACACGATAGTTTGCTGGTTGTGGTCATCAGAATTGGCGGCGTTTGTTTCGCTTTTGTTAACTATCTGGTTACGGTTAATAATAGTAATATGCGTTATCGCGTTATTAACCGTTTGAGATGACAGCGGCGTCTTATTGCGGTTAGACATTTTGCGGCAGTAGAGTTTATTATAATTCTTACCTTGATCCCAAAGGATCACACGGTGTTGTGAGTTTTATGCAGTAAACGATCTCTGTAATGCGGACATTCGAACAGTATAAGTTTGAAAAAAGAAACACAAGGTTTGACGTAGCTTTAGATATAATAATAGCGGGTTTGTAACACGAGACATGTACTCTATGTCAGCTGAAGGCTATGTGCGTGATTTCTACTGTATAAGTTAGGCTCTGGTATTCGTGGACTGGCTCTGCCGTCTCGTTGCCGAGATATCCGTGAACTGGCTTCGCCGTTTCGTTGCCTCTTAGTTAGGACATTAGAAACTAATCAGACAAAAGTGTATTACACCTCAAACAAAGGTACTACGTTTATTATTTTTATATCTTCTTGTCTTTGTCGTTCTAAACCCTCGAACCATACGACCGCGATAGAACCACGACATCAGGTTCTCACCATATACAAAAACCCAAGACCCCATCATTTTCATTATTTTTATTTTATTAATTTTTGTTATTTAAATTATAACACATGCCAAACTCAGTCAAAAGCTTGAGCAACGTCCAAAAAAATGGCAGAACAGTACTATGCATTTTCTAGTAAAGATGCGATAGTGTCAGTTAATTTGTTGAACAATTGAGTGTCTGCTACTAAAGCCAAATTATGTGCCCGACTATAGATTTTTAGCTTGTCATTTTTGAGTTATTAATGTACGAATGTAAGTAGAAGGATTAATGAGAAAAGTGGATTTTTTATTACTAGAGGGAGTAGCAGAAATGGCAGCGGTTTGTATCGATTATGATAAGTTTTTTATCACATCATATATATTTTGAGAAGATTTTAGTTTAATATTTAAATATGTGTTATCATATTTATTTATAAAAGTTAGAATTTTTCGAAATTTTACCCAGTTTGTTGCTTTTTAGTGAAGGGTTACTAGATCTTAATAGGAGGTGTTGAGTTAATTAATAACCCACATACAATCATTATATTTTAATAACAATTCTGTTATAATATTATTTAAACGTTCTTTTATTTTTTAATTATTTATACATCATTTCCATAATACTATTTCAAAATTTTACTGTTATAATACTTAAATAAAATTCTTGATAAACAATTTTAAACATTTTTTTTTTAAATTATTACTTAATTAATAATTATACAATATTTTTAATAAAATATTATTTTAGAATAATTAAAAAGTGGTTGAAAATAAACTTATTTCACAAATAACTTTTACAAAATTATAGTAGAACATGTATGAAAAATTATCCTTTTTTAATTTGCTATTTGAAAAGTATTTCTTAATCATCACCTAATCAGATAACATAAAAAAATGTTCACTATTATTTTAATACAAAACTTAAAATAGATAATCATAATTATAGTAAAAATCAATAAACACAAAGTAAAAGTATTATTTCTTCAAAATTAATTATTAAATATTTTTTTAACTGTATGATGGTAAAGATATTTTTCTAATGTAATTATTTTCAAAGCTTTTAATTTTTTCAATATGAATTAAAAACAATATATTTAACTTTTTAATGTACAATTTAATGTTATTCAGTTAGGTACTGACTTGTATCTTGAGGAGTCGTATTGTTATCTAAAGAGATAAATAGACATTAAATTAGCGATAATCAAACTTATCCAATGTATAAACTTATTAAAGCTCAGGACCCCGGCTAGTAAATCAAATGAAAAATCAGCATTGTTTAATTTGTTTGAAAGTGTACTATTAGGAAGAGCATGCTCAATCCTCTCGAGGAGCGTGCATATTAAAATTAATAAAAATAAAGGAAATTAAAATTTTTAACAGTACAATAAACGGTATACAAGCTAGTAATTCAGGATAATCAATATTATTATTCAATTTGTTATTATTATTTTATTTGTTAATTTGGAATTAATGGAATACAAATCTGGGGTCCTGCAAAGCGGTCAAATATACGCCCTATTCAGGCGTTCCAGAACATAGCACTCCGAATGTTAACCAATGCCTCTTGGTACATAGCGAACAACAACCTACATAACGACTTAAAAATTAAAACAGTTAATGAACCTTCTAAATTAAACTACACACGATTCCACTATAAACTGAACTTTAATTCAATCCCCTTTATCAGATGTATGTCCACTACCGACTTCCCTGACAATCCTACACGCAGACTTCAACGTAACTGGAATCGTGACCTAATAACATCAAACAGCTAACAAAAATTATATTTAACTAACTGAGAGGTGTTACCAATGGGTGACTTCCTTGCATGCTAATTTTAAATAAGCCATGTACATATTTGATATAAAAAAACTTATTGTACTTATTCTATTGTACAGATTGTTTTTTGAAAAAAAATACAATTAAAAAAAAAAGAAATCACGCTAGGTTTTTTAAAACANACAATTAAAAAAAAAAGAAATCACGCTAGGTTTTTTAAAACATCTTTAAGGCAACAAAACGGCAGAGCTAGTTCACGAATACCATATAACGTGATTATGTATAATTTTTTAACCAACCAGTCGAAATTGACACTTTAAGATATTAATTTAATAAATTATCTATTGCTTTGACATCCTTTACTCAAACTTATTAACTTCAAATAATTGGGATAACATAAATTTACTTACTTCTTTTATTATTGCAAATTGCTAAAATAATAGTACCCCAATCCAGGGATATTGTTGTCACCGCTTTTAGTGCTTTTTAGTTTATTGTATTTAATTATACATTACATGATTATTATATTGAGATAGCATATCTAACAATTGATTATAAATGAATTTTTTTTAATATCCCAGACATTCATGCTTAAATAGAACTAATGCACATTAATATTATTTTTTATTTTTAAATTTAAAAATATTTTGAAAATACTGACATCTATTAATACAGATTTAGTTTATATAATTATGTTTATATAATAATTTCATATTGAAATAAAATTGTCATTAGGATTCATTTTATTTGCTCGTTTTTAACAATCTTAGTTAAGGAATAAAATAGGATTTCTATGTACAAATCGCAAAGCTATATAAATTGTTGCAAAAAAATGTTTCAAGGAGTACATTTTTACAAATTAGTGTTTACTATATAATCAAATGACGTGGGAAACATTAAGGAGCTGGTTTCTCACTACCCCAACTTTTTTTCGTAATTTCACTATGGACAATCACATAGCAATGTTTTGTAATAGTAATTATTAGATATCAAATAAAATTGTATAATATTCTTCTCATATTAAATGTCTATTTGTCAACGGTTTAAAATATTTTCCTTGTATAAACATGTCATAGAATTTAAAGTTATGTAATTTTACTTACAATCATTAGGTACAATCCTTGGAAAAACGATTACTCCTAAAAATACAATTTTTCATTAATAACATAAAATAATACTTATTATAGTATAAATATATTATATTTAGACTTTTTATTTTAAAATTATATGTAGGAAAAATTAGCAACTTGTGCTGTTATTGAACTATCTATGATAACGAGTTAAACGTAATAAACATTAAAGATAAATAAATTTTAATTTAAATCCTTTACTGTGAATACTATGTATTATTGTGATTATGGATACCCAGAATCCCTAAATATTTTGTGAATGAGATGTTTACATATATAAGTACAAATTGAATAACTATTTAGTTATTATTATGATACTGTATGTTGCATTTATGTCATCAGGGTGTTAAATAATTAAAATAGTTATTATTGTAATTACATTTATAAGTATATTATTTATTATATTTCATTTTAAGTCATCATTTCACTGATGAATAGGTTATCCAGAGATTGTAAAAAAATTTACTTTAGTACAAATTAATATATTCTTGAAGAAAATAATTTTTAAATTTTTAGCATACGAAAACACGATGGAATTTAAACCTTAGACCAAATAAAATAAATGTATACATACAATAATAAGGAAATGACATCAAAAATACATTTAAAAATTGTTAATTTTAGTAATATCATCATCATAAACTAAATGATCTTAAATTTTATGTAATAATATGTTTTTTTATTTATTAAATTTCTTACTTTTTTAATAGGAATTTGAAATCAGTTTAATTACAATCTTAATTAATTTACAATTTAAGGTTCTTTAATATAGTACTTACTTACAACACGAAGATTCCCATCTAAACATGTATATAAACGTTGAATTAGATTTATAAAATCTATTCTATACAGAGTTTATAAGTAAATGAACGGTCGATAACAGCTTTTGGATTGCTATTTCAGAAGTTATTAACATTTTTATAGTCAGTAGGAAGAGTGAAACCAAGAAGTGTCGAGTGATAAAAATAACAGGTATTAATGTATATTATAATATTAAAATATTTTCATTCTGAGGGAAAATGATCTCCCGATAATTGTATTTTTGAATAAACCCGGGATTTATTCAAACAAACATAGTTTTTACATTTTTCACTAATTCCGTTATTAAAAAAAAAAAAATTAATTGTAAAATAAAAATTTACGTCTGTTATTCTAAAATAATGGTTAGAAAAAATGTTTATATTATAATTTCACGTTGAAAAATACATTCAAAAATAAAACTTTTTTATCATTATTTATTAATATTATCCAGTATATATATCTTCAAAGATGTTCCTTAAAACCTGTTATAACCTTAGTAATATCATCATTTTGAAATTTTTTGGATATTTCATGATAAATCTGCCTAAAAAGTAATTTTTGTTTAAAAAATTTTATATATTGACAATGTCTTTTCATTATTATATGATATTTTTACTATTTGTCTATGAAAATGTATCTTCAGATGATAAAAATTTTTATTTTTTGTAAGAAAAAGTAGTCACCGACTTGAAGTTATTTTCAGATCTTTATTTATTAATAACATTTTCGCCTCTTACCAATATTATCTGTAGTCTGATTGATATCTAAATAACAAATAAGTCAAAATAATATACTTTTAGTAATATCATGTGGATATAAATCAAATTATAATTTACTTCTTATAGCTCCGAACACCATAACTAAAAAAAAAAAAATACAATATATATACACACATATATATATATAATATACAGAGTGATTATATAAGAGTTATAAAGAATTTTTTTTTTTAATCATTATGGATCTTTGATGAGCTGTTTCACGAGAAAATTTAAATTTTTACCACCATACCTTTTGCTTAAAAATAGTGTCAACTTCATATTTTCAAATGGCAACACTATTTTTTTTTTATACCATTATATTTAGTTTAATAAAAAAAAAATGTTTTGTAAAAAAAATATTTTATTTTATTAAATATTAAGCGCTCCACGGCTCTCTAAAGTTTAGGGTTTATTAAGAAAAAATCATTACAGACAAGAACTTTATGGATCGTAAATCGATAAGCGCTACCACTTCTTATCAGTACACTAAATAATAACGATACTATATTTACCCGACTACTGTTTTATTTGTTAAATCCCCTAAACTTTAAATAGTAATATCTCGCTTAGAATTTATTAAAATTGATTTTTTTTTTTTTGAGAAAATTTTTTTTTTTTATTATTATTAACAAGATTAATAAAAAAAAAACTGGGTTGCTATTTGAAAAACTAAAGTTGATATTGATTTAAGGGTTGAGGGATGAAGATTGAATCTTCATTTTTCTTGTCAAGTAGCTCAACAAAGATTTATAACAAATAAAATAATTACATATACGATAATACTAATATTTTTAAAGAAAATTCGTGAGGCATAGTTAGTCAATCACCCTGTGCATTGTCTTAGAAGTTCAAAATTTTAAATGTATGATTTTGATTATCTCATGAAAAATTTGCATAAAAAGTAATTTATGTAAAAAGAATTTTGTATATTAATAACATTTATTATTTTTAGATTTTGAAAAATTTTCGAATAAATTGGCTACTTTAAATATAGCTCAGCCTATTCAAACGGGTAGGATTATCGTAGGCAAACCAAAAATTGATAAGGTTTAATTACAATTATATGATATTTTTAATATTTTTCCATGAAAATTTATTCTCAAACGTTATATTTTTTATTTTTTATAAGAAAAATTAGCCAATGACTTGAAGTTATTTTCAGACTTAAATAACAAATTCTTTATTAATTAATAACATTTTCCCCTCTTACCAATATTATCTCTAGTCTGGTTGATATCTAAATAATAAATAGGTTACAATAAAAGATTTTCAGAATTATCTAATCCATAAAAATCCATTAAATTATTATTTACTTCTTATAGCATCGCGCATGTCATTAGCTAAAAAACAAACATTTTGTTTATTTATTTTGTCTTACAAAATTATACAAAATTTTAAATGTAAAAAAGTTGACTAAATTCTAATCGCCGATACTAAAGATTAAAATATAAGAAGCATTGCACAATTTAGTTTAACTAATCATCACCAAATAGTTGAAAAACTGCGTATGATTTTATAATATCAAAACTATGCTACTATTGTCTTTGTTAACATTTCGCACACTGTATGACACTTAATTTCAATTTTTATGCAAAATTGGATACAAATCTTATGATCCATATTTTTAGCAAACGAAAATCGCCAATACTTGTTTATTCAGTCGAGCTCACAAAAACACGTCTAACCTTAAAGCTGAAAATTTTATTATACTACAAGGACACGAGTACCAACATTACGGAGAAATTTTTCTTGATAATAGACTTTCCAAACCCGCAAAATTTTAAAAACCTCGTTATTTTTTAAAGACATCTCTATAATATATGAATCGATTACCAAATATTAGATTTTACTTTCCTTTTACAAATGTGTAGTCATATTATTAATTAGTTAAAAAAAATATTACTAATCTCTAATTGACTATTAGAGATTAGAAACGGCAATTAGTAATAGCCGTTTCTAATAATAAAAATATAATCAGCATTGCACAATTTAGTTTAAACAATCTGCGACAAATAAGAGAAAAACTACGTTCAATTTTAAATAATTTATGAAATATATCACTATTTAATGTTTATAACAACGCTACTGTAAAAAATACATATTTTATTTTTTTATCTGTGTTAAAATTACTGTATTTTTAATTTTAAATCATTGGCCTAATAAAATATTAACTAAGTAAACTAAAGACAATAAGCTTTCCTTATTGTATACTTAGTAAAAAAAGTCCAATTAAGATCTATTTTTCCACTATAAGAATTTGGCCGTTAGATTGGAAATTTTGAAGCAAACATTTATAAGAATAACTAGCGTCAAACTTTTAAGCCACATTAATATCTAAATAAAGAATGCCATATATATTAATATTTTATATCTATCTTACCAGTAAAAACTGTAGTTGTATTGGTATCTAAATAATAAATAAATCAAAATAATATACTTTTAGTAATATCAAGTGGATATAAATCAAATTATAATTTACTTCTTATAGCTTCAAACAACATATTTACTAAAAAAAATACAATTTATGTTAAATTTTATATGAACGATCTTATATGTTCAAAATTTTAAATCTATAAATATATATATTTGAATGTCTCATGAAAAACCTGTATAAAAAATAATTTATGTATAAAGAATTTTGTATATTGAAAATGTTTTTTCATTCTTAAATTTGGAAAAATTTATGGAATTTATATAATTATGTGATTTTTTAAAAATTTGTCCATGAAATTCTTGACTTAATAAATTGATAATTTATGTTTTAAGAAAACATTAATCAATTAGCCCCAGATATTAGAAAATAGTTCCATTTTAAACAGTTTATAAAGTATATCATAACTATGATACTGTAAAAAAGGTATTTTCAAATTTTATTTTTCATTTAAAATTACTGTAACTTTATTTTTAAATACTGGTCATAATAACATTTTAACCGAGTAAACTAAAGACAATAAACTTTTTTTTGGTAGCTTACTATAAAAATTCTATGAAGTTTTATTGTTTCACTATAAGAAATTGGGCGAAAAATTTTACATTTTAGTAATTACAAAATTATTAATTTTGAAATTACTGTGACATTTATCATTTTTGCATCGAAGCTTTTTGATGATAGTGATTTTTATTTCAGTTGAATATCTTCTATACTTGTCACAACTATGTCGCGACCCTTATGTACATGGTTTTCTTTCTTGACTTTAATTTGAGAAAAGGTTTTTTGAAATAAAAAAAATTGTAAAATTATAAATACCGTTTTCGATACTTTAATTTAATACTCGATTTAATAATAATAAGCTATTTTTCAAGTTCTACTTGTATTGTGTTACAGATCTGTTTAATACTTTGTGATCTTGGTCAAAACCAAGATTTGGAAGCTATCTGACATCTGCCAAATATTGTCCCTGCCTCCTTAAATAAGTTTTAATTATCTGGAAATCGTGTACTTAGTTACTAGTGAGAGATGAAATAATAACTTTAAACTATTTTTTTATATCAACGACAAAATAAAGTTTTATTAATTGATGAAAATAACGTTTAAACAAAAAAAAGATATTTTTTCAATCAGTTATTTGGGTTTCAATCCAAAAATGACTAAATTCCAGTAAGAATTCCTTATTATTTTTATTATTTAAAAATACCCTGTAATTAAAGAAATTTTAATATATAAAAGTATAATAGTTTTTTAATGTCTCACTGAACGATTTTGACAATCTATATGTCAAAAGAAACCAAATGTGATTCAGTTAAAAATATCATCTGCAAAGTCGGCCAAAAATCGTTTATAGTTTTACGTTTTTATTATATTACTCTTGAAGTAAATATAATCGTTATTTTGCATATATTGGGACATTTCAATAATAATTTACCGATAAACCATAATTGTTATTTGGGTTATATAGCCAACTATAAACCGCCATCATTATTACTGGTATTATATCATTAAAAAGCTATCTATATAAATATGGCCGATTGGATGGTGTGAGGAGCTGCACCACTACATCTTTTACTTGGGTTTTCATTAGATCTTCATAAATAGTAAACCTAAAGAATGCTCATTTTCTCAAGTATATTAAAATTTAATTGTAATTAGTATTTTTGAATGTGATACTAGAAAAAAAAAACGAATGTCTTTTTCCAAAAATTTGTTATTATTGGCTTTTAAATCAATTAACTAAAAAAAAAATTTCGCAACAAAACAATTCTCTTTTTAATCATCAATATATTCAGAAAGTTAATTTTAAAAAATTAAGGAATTATAAAGTAAGTATAATACTCTTTAAAGTTCTTTAGTTAAATACTTACTAAAAACTCGATGTAATCCATCTAAACACGTATAAAAAAAAATACTGAGTTAGCTATGTTTATAGAAAGAAATTCGAAGTATAATAAAAACGTAAAACAATTATTTAAAAAAATAAATTTGTTTATCTGAAACGATATATTTTTAAATTTATGTAACAAAATAGCTTTGAAATTAATGTCATATTAAGATATAAATAACAAATTCTATGTGAATTAATAACATTTTCCCATCTTACCAAGATTATCGGAAGTCATATTGAAATCTAAATAGTAAAATATTATTTATATTATCCAGTGCATATAAATAAAGTAACTTATCATTTACTTCTTATAGCTTCGATCAAGTCATTAGCTAAAACAATTACATTTTATATTTATATTTTTTTTACAAAATTATATATACGAAATGTTATATGTATAAACTTAATTTTTCTGAATGTCTAATCGTAGGCAATTGGAAACTTGCTACATATTGAAATGGATTACGTTAGTTTTTTATAATTAATATAAGAATGTTTAAATGGTACAGATAAGTCAAGGGGAAAATGAAGTGGTATTTGAGTTAGCAAGTCAGGACAATTAATAGTATTTTCAATGGTTTTTAAAATCAATTTATCTAACATTTAGTTATATATATAAATACTATTTACTTCTCATAGCTTGGGCCAGGTCATTTACTAAAAAAAATGTATTATTTAACATATATTAACACAGAACAAGCTTACTTTAAATCTATTTTACATAAAATAAAATAGGATAAACAGATATCCTACATTAATTTATAACCTAAAACAATAACTATTAAACATAAATATGTTATTTTGTAATAACTTATTTTTATAATTTTAGTAGGAAAAATTATCCTAAACATAACGCCACATAAAGATTTATTATATAAATTTAATATATATTAATAACATTTCCTCTTTTTACCAGTATAATTTGAAGTCATATTGATGTCTAAATAATAAATAAGTTAAAATAATATACTTTTAGTAATATCTAGTAATAATTCAAAATATTATTTACTTCTTATAGCTTCAGCCAAGTTATTTACTAAAAAAAAATACATTACAGTAATTTTATATATACGATCTCATAGTTTAACATTTTACCAATATTATCCGTAGTCGTATTGATATCTAAATAATAAAATATTTTTAGTATAAACCAGTGCATATAAATCCATTAAATTATCATTTACTTCTTATAGCTTCGATCAAATCATTGGCTAAAAAAAGTACATTTTATGTATATTTTAATTTTTTTTTGACTTATATGTTCAAAATTTTAAACGGATAAACTTAATTTTTTTGAATATCTTATGAAAATCCTACCTAAAAAGTATTTTTTGTATAGAGAATTTTGTATATTAATAATGTTTATCTTAGATTTTGAAAAATTTATGGGAATACTAGCTTCATTAAATATAGTTTATATCAGTACCACCAATAATTGGAAAAACTACATTTAATTTTAAATCTATAATAAAATGTATCCAAACTACTACTATAAATAGCTATTATAAAAAAAGGCTATTCAACTTTAAATTTACTATAACTTTATTATTAAATTATTAAAAAATTTTGGTCCAAATAAAATTTTAACTGAAGACAATACACATTTCTTTAGTATCTTTAATATGAAGATATATTTTACCATTATGAAAAATAAGGCGTCAAATTGGAAATTTTTAAGCGAAAATATATAAGAATAACTAGTGTCAAACTTAAAGCCACATTAATATCTAAATAAAGAATTCCATGTATATTAATATTATATTTCTATCTTACCAGTAAAAACTAAAATCCTGTTGATATCTAAATAACAAATAATTAAAAATAATATACTTTTAGTAAAATTAAGTATATATAAATTAAATTATAATTTACTTCTTATAGCTTCCATCAAAATAATTACTAAAAAAAATACATTATACGTTTAATTTAATGTTTTTAATATTTTTGAATATCACATGAAAAAACTGCCTAATAAGCAAATTTTTATTTAAAGAATATTGATAACGTTATCCATTCTTAGATTTAAAAAATACTGGCTACTGAAAATGTAGCTAAACTTGTCCAAACGGGTAGCATTATCGTAAGCAAACAGAATATAAAAAGGTACTGATATTACAATTATGTTTTTTTTTTAATTATTTGATCGTGTAAATTCTAAACTGATTTTATAAGTTTATGCTTAAAACAACAAAAGAATTTCTATCAAAATAAGTATAAAAAAACACTAAATACGCTATGTTTTAACCTATTTTATATAAATAGAATAGGTTGAAGAGAAATGCGATCTATATTAATAACACAAAACAATAATTTTATAACTTAAATATGTTATTTTCAAATGTTAGATATTTAAATATTATGTAAGGAAAATTAGCCTCTAACTTGAACTCATATTGAGATATAAATAACAAATTCTATATATATTAAATACATTTTCCCTTCTTACCAAAGAATTCGGCCACCGTATGGAAATCTAAATAAAAAATAAGTTAAAATAAAATATTATTGAGTGCTCATAAATCAATTAAATTATTACTTACATCTTAGAGCTTCTCTCAAATGATTAGCTAAAAAAAATACATTTAATTTCTTTTTACAATCTTATATGTTCAAAAATTTTTTCAATATAGTTTAAACTATCAGTACCAAAAATTTGAAAAACTTAATTTAATTAAAAATCTTTTATAATATAAAAAAAAAGATATAAAATTTATATCAAATTTTTTTTTCCATTTAAAAATTATTACAGCTTTATATTTAAATCTCTGGTTCTCATAACATTTTAACCAAGTAAACTTAAAACAACTTTCCTTTTTCTTATTTATTGTTAGTCAAAGAACATACTTATTACATTAAGTTTTAATCTCATGAAGCGTGGTTAATAAAAGGTTTTAGACGGATATTTTATTCAACCATAATAAATTTATATAAAATTAAATAACAATTAATAATAACTTTACAATTAAAGCCTTAAAGGAAAAATGAATTTACATTCGGGTTTAATTGTATTAAATATGTCCAGCGTTTATTAAAAATACACAATTTTTTCATTGCCTTGTTAAAGTAGTAGTAATAATTTCTATATACTATATAATATACAATATAATAATAATATCCGGATATAAATCAATCAAATTATTATTTACTTCTTAAATTTGTAGACAATTCATTAGCTAGAAAAAAATATATTTTATGTTTAAGTTTATTTGCATGATCTTATATAAATAATAATTTTTTGATATTCCATCTTAAAACTCCCCAAAAAGTAATTTTTGTACGGAGTTCTCTGTATATTATTAAGGTTATATGTTGTTGGAAATTATCCAAAAATTGACATACACCAGTATGATATTTTTANGTATATTATTAAGGTTATATGTTGTTGGAAATTATCCAAAAATTGACATACACCAGTATTATATTTTTAATACACAAAACTTTAATACACAGTCAGTGTAATTTTGACAAGTATTGAAAAATCGTTAAAAAATAAAACATTTTTACTATCATTATTATAATATTATCATTATACTGTAGATATAACATCAAGATGTTCGTTAAAAACTGTTATAACCCATCGTTCATTAATGAATTAATCTTAAAATGCACGTAATAATGTATGTTTTTATATAATAAAGTTACCAATTTATTTAATGAAAAAATAAATAAGTAAGATCTACATCTTTATAATTTATATAGCATAATATTCTAGTGTCATCCTTAAAAACTGACGCCCAAAGTATTGGCGTCCAATACCTCCCTAAATACGTCATGGACATAATGCTGTGAGTTCATATTTATAAAAATACCAAAGAACAATTCAAAAAACATATCTGTCGTATAAATTTAATTAGTTACATGTATTTGTGTATTATACATGTAATTTAATTCAAAAAATCGGAAAATGTAATAATATTATTTTAACGAAGATAATTAACTAAAAATAATATATCAAATTAATTTGCTAGTCTTACGCTAAAAATAAATAATTTTAAAATTTATCTTTATATTTTTTAAATTATTAATATACCTGGTTCAAAATCAAAGTTATCGTATGGATGATTGCATAAAAGACAACGGTAACTTATCTTATCAATTTTCCAATTATCTATACAACCTTGGCAAAATTTATGTGAACATTCTCCAATAGATGTATCTGGATTATTTAATAAACAGACAGAACATGTTTCTAAAAATAAAAAAATTAATTAATTATTTGAAACAATAATAAATAGTTGGTTAAGATATAGTTTTAAAACATTTAGTTAAAAAATCGTTTTGAAAAACTCTATGAAGACTTAACTTCATAACGCCACAATCATAAAAAAATTTACATGGATTCTTTATAACGAATTTTTAATAAATTTTATTATACTCCAAATTCATATTTAATAAAATAAAGAAATTATTAAGTTTTAACTTACCATCTGCATTTCGGTCATCATCTTGAATACCATTTGCTTTCAAAATACATAATTTTCAATAACAGGTTTAATAAGATCAGTATTTATTATATCATACATTTCATATCATGTGTTTAATATTACAAAAACACAATATCAAAATGATACTAAATTTGTGACTATGTACAACACCTATGTCTCCAGAACAATAATTATTACTGAAATATCTATGATAAACACCGATGAATACTAATCATTGAAAATATAATACTTTTATAAAAAAAATACTATGAAATTAATATTTCTAAATATGTTTCAAGTATTAGACCACACTGTTTTACTTCTATTTACGAAAACTACATTTCTTTTTATAAAAAAATATCATTGCGTATAACTTCAGTTTGAAAAAGTAAAATTCAATATAATTTTCAGGACTTGTGATTGAGTACTTTCATTGAAAACAAAAATCTTAAAATCGGAGCACGCTAAGTATTTTACATAGAAAATCAATATGTCCTTGTAATAGAACAATGAAATATATAAAATTTATATTTAAGTGTCCACATAATACATTAATATATAATTAATTATTTGTCAATTAAAGAAAAATATCTTATCTTGTACAGTTCAATCTATCACATTTTAGTATGTTGCAGCAATTATAATTATAATAACAATAATTATTGACGATTAAGTATTGTTAAATTACAAATTCATTTTTATTGATTTAAAAACTCCATTTATTTTTTACTTACGTTCTTCGATTTGATTATCACCTGGAATAGCATATGTTATCATACATAAAAATTAATATATATATTTTCATTTTAACTTGTAATCAACTAATTTTCAATTTAAAAAATATATTTTAACAATATTAAATATTAGCTTCGATGCGAAGCTGAGAAGGTATAAATTTTACTATGATGTGTTTTTATTTTTTATTTATTTTTTTTATGTCTGTTGCCACTTTTTCTCAGCTCTCACTGTACCGATTTCTTTCAACGATACGTCAAAAGATCACAAATCGTATCTAGTTGAAGACATTACGCTTAAAAATTGAAAAATTTTCCCTCGTTTCTTGCAAATGGGGGAAATATCCAAAAAAATTACAAATTTTAAAATCGGTAAATTTTGTCATCTTTTTCACTTTTTTTCTTAAAACTTCCATAACTTTTTCAAAAATAAACAAATCAACATAATTTTTTTTTATACTAAAATCTTAGACATTTTTCTTTCATTTCATATCTTTTATTTGAAAATTTAACACTTAACCTGCTCATTGGGGAGGATTTAAAATATCAACTTTTTTACAAAAACTAACTTTTTTAACTTAATTTTTGAAACTGTTTCGAAAATACTGCGTCTTTTAAACATATATCAAATTAAATATTTTTTTATGTACTATAAAATGAAAAAAAAAAAAATTTTCCCGACACTTTTTCTTCTACATTTAAACGGCTGCCGTAGTTAAAAAAACACTATTTTTGTGTTAAAATTTTTAACTTAAAAATGCTATAACTTTTTGAAAAATGTATATATCAGCACAAATTTTTTTTTCTAAATACATTATAAGTATATCTTTCATTTGACTTCCTTTTTATTAAAATTGGATAGTTTCCCCTTATATAGGGGGCGTTCAAAACTTGAAATACTGTAAAAAACATAGATCTTTTTCAACTGAACTTTTGAAAATGTTCCAGAAATACTGTGTCCTTTAAACATATATCAAATCACAGGTTATGTTATATGCTATCAAATGAAAAAAAAAGTTTGTCCTAACACCTTATCTTCTATGTGCAAATGGCTGTCAAAATTTAAAAAAAAATGTAATGTTTGCGATAAAAATTACATTTTATCGGGATGTTTTTTGTACTTAAAACTGCCATAACTTTTTCAAAAATGAACAAATAAAAATAATATTTTTTTGTATTGAAACCTTAGATATTTCCCTTTCATTTGATATAATTTTTTTTGAAAATCTAACACTTATTCTGCTCACTGGGAGGATTTAAAATAGTAACTTTTTTACAAAAAATAACTTTTTCAACTTAATTTTTGAAAATGTTCCGGAAATACTGCGTCCTTTAAACATATATAAAATTAAAGCTTATTTTATGTACTACAAAATGAAAAAAAAAAAATTTTCCCGACACTTTTTCTTCTACATTTAAACGGCTGCCGTAGTTAAAAAAACACTATTTTTGTGTTAAAATTTTCAACTTAAAAATGCTATAACTTTTTGAAAAATGTATATATCAGCACAAATTTTTTTTTCTAAATACATTATAAGTATATCTTTCATTTGACTTCCTTTTTATTAAAATTGGATAGTTTCCCCTTATATAGGGGGCGTTCAAAACTTGAAATACTGTAAAAAACATAGATCTTTTTCAACTGAACTTTTGAAAATGTTCCAGAAATACTGTGTCCTTTAAACATATATCAAATCACAGGTTATGTTATATGCTATCAAATG